GTCTTACCAATCTCCTCCTAATTATTCTAATGGAAAGTTTTTAAAAAATCAACCCCTTTATTTCTCTCTCTCTGTGATGCTGGGAATCTAAATTAACTCTTAAAAGCCAGAAGAAGTAAAAGATTAAATCAGATGCCTCCACACTATCTTATGGCAACAGAAAATAAATGAATTAAAAAAAAAAGATAGTTTTAAACAAGGTAATGTTACTAGCCATTTAGATCCATACTTCTATATCATATACACTGAAGTTACTATTTTAGACATCACCTAAGACTTCCCATTTTAAGATTTGTATGACACACCTTCCCACTAAATTTTAATCCCTTTTTTGGTTAAACTTATTGGAGTTTTTGCACAATTATGGTTAGAGAAATACTACTCACTTGTATAGCTAATAAATTTACTGTGATGATATCCCCTTTCTTACAAATTTTTTCCTTTTTTTGTGTGTGTGTGTTCCTGTCTTTTCTCAGATAATGCTAATTACCTAATTACCTTTTTATTCCAAAAGCTTAAGCACATCTTTTAGTCTATTTTTGTCTAGAAACCTCATATTTTTTTCCTTCCCCAAATCAAATGGCTGTTCCTGTTACACAACAGGTGAAAATATCTCAATTTAGGACATTCTAAAACTTTACTTTGGCTTCCTGTTTTGATGAAAGACCAAGGCCAGGCACAAAGGCTGACAATTGGTGGACAACAGAAGTAAACTTCAATGGTTCATAAATCTATCATGACTCATTCCACAGTTTCAGGACCTTTTTGTTTTTTGGCATCTTCCTCTTTTCAAATTCCTCCTAGATGGTGGTATCCAGCTGTGCAGGAGACATGGTAACACAACTCCTGCACTCTAAAGAGCAGCAATCTTCTCTTTAGCTCCACTATTTCCTCCAGCAATAATTGCTCCTACAGGAACCATTCTCCTGCCTGGAGGCAGTTAAAATAGCAATGAAGGACACTACAGGCTTGGCATTTGGAACTGAATTATGTTTTTTTCAAAAATTCTGCAGCATTTTCTTCTGTATTACCACCAATTCAACAACCAATAGGATATCTTTTGTGGCTGAATCATTCAAAAGGATTTTAAGGCAGTCAATAAAACTGGTTCCATTAAAGGATCACCCCCAATGCCAACACATAAAGATTGCCCCAATCCAACTTGTGTTGCTTGGTGTGCTTCATAAGCCAGGATGCCAGATTTGGACACAATACCTTTTCTTCCTTTCTTGTGAATATGGCCAGGCATGATGCCAATTTTGCATTCTCCAGGGCAGTTTGGCCCAATTAGCTTTGTTTTTCCCTGGTTTAACAGTTTGTGCTTGAACCTTACCATATTCTGTTGTGGAATACCTTCAGTAATGCACACAACCAAGGACAGTTCTGCTGCAATAGCTTCATCAATAGCCAAAGCAGCAAAAGAAGGAGGAACATACATGACAGAAGCTGTTGCTCCTGTCTGTTCTTTGGCCTCCTTCACAGTATTAAAGGCAGGTAAATCCAGATGTGTCTTGCCTCCTTTCCCTGGAGTGGTTCCTTCACTGAGTTTGGTGCCATAGTCCAATGCCTGCAGGCTAGCTATGAAAGGTGCCCAGCTTACCTGTGAAACCCTGGCAAACGACCTTTGTATTTTTATCACCATAGAGATGTCTCTAGAAAGCTACACTGGAACAATGCTAAATTGCATTCTGTTGCAGCAGAAAGGCACATGACAGCAGGCAAGTGGCAGCCAGGCAGCTGCTGCCAGAGGCTACGGTTGCGGTTGCAACTGCAGTGGCTCTATAAACCTCATTTTTGTAAGGAAAAAAAAGGTCTATTCTCTGTTATCCTGCACTAGTTTGAACTGGATATCCATTAAGTTCACTGTGCAAGTGTCATCTTGGGACGCCCCTTTGTTGCTTTCCTGTATTGGATCTTCTTTTTCCCAGCTCCTATGTTTTCTTTTTGCTACTTTTAATGATTTTTATTAGTGTGTAAGGTGTACTAACATCCCAAGAAAGACTGCTTAAGACACCACTAACTGCATGATCCAATAGCCATTTCCAAACCACTACCCCCAGTGTACTACATGAAGACTGGAAATGCTAAATATTTGCTTTCCTAGACTTACTGAAGCCAGGTCTCACAGTTCTAATCAATGAAATAAATGTATGCAGAGTACCACAAGGAGTTTGCTGGGCAGGTTTTGCTTTGTTTCTTTCTTTTCTTACCTGGAACAAAGGAATTATGTTTGAGGTAGTTCACACAACTTGCTGGCATGAGGCTACAGCTTCATGTTAAAGAAGAGCATAACAGAAACTGTTGAATCACTACATTAATCCCAGACAATCTAACTCTTGATTTCTTATTCTGTGAGAGAAATGATTCTATAATTGTTTAAGCCACTGTTTAATGGCTTTTCTTTACTTGCCCTTCTACTCCCAACTGGGAATGAACCCAGGGTCACTCTACCACTAAGCTACATCCCAAATTCTTTTTATTTTCAGACAGGGTCAACCTCCTGCCTCAATTCCCTGAGTTGCAGGGATTATAAAGCATGTGCCACCAGGCCTAGCATTTAATAGATTTTTCTATTACTAGGAGGAAAACATATTTCACTGATCAACCTTGCATGTATGAAAATAATACTTTTCCCTTTTGTTTTACTGTTTGTCTAGAAATAGAATTCCAAGTTGATGATAATTTTCTCTCAAAATTTTCAAGAATGTGGTTTCCCCGTATCTCATAGCTTCTAATGTTGCTGAGAATTTCTATCGTTGTTAAGTCCTGTTCCTTTGAACCTCATGTTGCTCTAGAAACTTTTAAGAACTTCTCTTTATACCAGATAAATGGAACTGCACAATGCATAATGATATGACTTCATGGTAAGAGGACTTCATGAATTTATTCATTAAATTCAGTTTACTGACTTCTGTAGGAGAACATTTATAATCTGGAGGTCAATACTTTTTAATTTGAGGAAAATTTCTTTTTTTTTTTTTAGAGAGAGAATTTTTTTTTAATATTTATTTTTTTTTTTTTTTTTGGCAGACACAACATCTTTGTTTGTATGTGGTGCTGAGGATCGAACCCGGGCCACACACATGCCAGGCGAGCACATTACCGCTTGAGCCACATCCCCAGCCCTGGAAAATTTCTATTATTATTTTAGTCTCTTACATTCTTTTTGCTCACTGAAGAAAAAGTGGATTTTCTGGATTGATTGTTTTTTGGTGTGTGTTGGGGGATACTGGCGGTTGAGCCTAGAGGTGCTTTACCACTGAGCTACATCCCTACCACTTTTTATTTTGAGACAGAGTCTTGTTTAGTTGCTTAGGGCCTTGCTAAGTTGCTGAGGCTGGCCTTAAACTTGTAATCCTCCTGCCTCAGCCTCCCAAGGCACTGGGATTATAGATATGGGTCATGGTGCCTGGCTAGATTGATTTTTTTTCTCTACTTTAAGGGAGATTTCTTTCTATTAATCTCACAGTGTTTCCACTTTTTTATTCTAGCAAAACAAATTCCTTAAAAGCTATTTTTTGTCTATCTCTGATTGCATCCTATTATAATTTAATGGTTATAATATCTTTTTCTCTAAGGTGATCTTGATTAGTTTTTATTTATTGTGTCCTGCTCATTATTTCAGATTTGTTTAGGTTTTGTCTCTCTCTCATGGGCAAGGTCCTACCCAGAAGATGTCTAACAAACTGTGTGGCAAAAGTACAGAAATAAAAACTTAATAGAAATCTGTGTTCACACAGCCACTGTGTTGGGAACTGGACATCAAGATTAATCAATTTATTAGTTGTAGTAGTGAAGATAAATCTCTAGAGGGTGAATCTCTTGCTTTCTGTCTAGCAGAAAAGATTGGAGTAGAGTCCTCCAGTCAAACTACTTCACAGGTAGTTTTTAAACTTTGGTGCTATCTTCTATTTATAGAAGAATATTTTTAAAGGTGTTTCTTCTTTAATATGAACAATTTCAAGAAAAAGATATTTTTTCTAGTTTTGGCTCTGTTTTAGAAGACTAATCAACATATTATCCAGAAATGATATACTTAAGACAGGTGTTTTTATCCCCATTTTATCTACATTCAAACAACCAGCAATTTAAAAATCTATCTTGTAGGGCTGGGGATGTGTCTCAGTTGGTAGAGTACTTGCCTTGCATGCACAAAGCCCTGGGTTCAATCTCAGCCCCCCCCCAAATAATAATTATACACACACACACACACACACATATGCAATTTAAACCACTGGGCTTGATCAAAGCCATTCTATTGGGTATAGAAATCACAGGTAAATCAGCTATTATGTAGAGTAACCATAAACTATCAAAACAAGACACTTTTGAGAGTACAAAGGGAACTATTAATAATTATGACAGGGGCTGGGTTGTGGCTCAGCAGTAGAGTACTTGCCTCTTACATGTGAGGCACTAGGTTTGAGCCTTAGCACCACATAAAAATAAATAAAGATATTGTGTTCAGGTATAACAAAAAAAATTAAAAAAATAATTATGACAGGGCAACATGCATAAACTGGGCAAACCAGTTACCCTATCACTAGGCTAATAACTTCTTAGATACTAAGCTTATAAACTTATCAGATGTTACCAATAACATGAATCTTCATTCAGAACAAAGATATTTCCTACTATGCTGCTATCTAATCTATAGATCACTACAGTGAAAACAGAAGGTAGAAAGAATTAGCAAATATAAAATATTACAGTTTTTAAGATATTGCTTCTTGTAATAACCCTCCCCCCATAAATGTGCATATACCCCCCCACACACACAAATTGCTGTATAAAGTCATATATCTTTCTGCTTGAATAAAATAACAATAGTTATTCACATATTTTAAAAAAGATTTAGGGAGTTTCTTCCTCTAACTCAGAATTATTTCAATAAAAAATAGAGAAAGGGTTAAGGATGGTTTAAAAAAAAAATGGGTTAGAGTGTTCTACCTAAAGCAGTTAAGGCACGAGACAGGAAATCAATCCCTAAATGCTCTTACCCATCCCAGAGTCTTTCTTGGTGCCATCTGATATTATGTCTACATGATCAGAGTCCACATCATAACTAAAGAAATCATTTAAATAGGTCTTTGATCGCTGGCCTCCAAACACATATAAGCAACGATTTTTCTGAAAAAGAAAGGGACAAAGAAGGGAGAAATATGTCACTTCTGTGAAGAATTCAGAATGGTTCTTTTAAAATTTAAATCACTACAAATGTAGTTTATGATAGATCCCATGCAGTGAAGAACCATGCTGGAATAAAGAGCAAAGAGAAATCTTTCTACATACTGCTAAGAGATGACCTCAAGGATACCCTGTTAATGTAAAAAGGCAAGGTGCTAAATAATGTACACAGGTTGTTGCCTTTGTGTAAGAAACAACAAGTAATATCTGTATATGTATGAGAGAGACAGCAAGAGAGAGACAAGAGAGAGAGAGAGAAAGAGAGAGAGAGCGAGAACGCGAGCGCACACTGTGTGCTTCAACTATGTGTATGTGTGCATTTGCTACTGCTTTTTTTTTTTTTTAAACAAAGGAAGGAGAAACCAAAACCTAATAAAGGATAGTTATTTACAGGGAAATGATCCTTTTTAATCCCTATCCAGAAAACAGGGATAAAAACCAGATCTCTCACTTGTATGTACCAGCCTCCAGAATTATCTATGAGAAATAAACTTCTGTTGTTAAAATGCCACTCAAAAAACAAAAACACAAAAACAAAACACAAAAAATCCAAGATCTCACAGCCAGGTGTAGTGGTGCACACCTATATTTCTAGTTATTCCAAAGCCTGAGGGCAGAAGGAAGGTTATAAGTTCAACGCCAGGTTGATTCGTCTCAAAATAAAACCGAAAAGGAATGTAGCTATGATAGAGTTTAATCAGATATAAGTGGCCTTGGGTCAATCCCAAATACCAGGTTGGGAAGGGAACCCTGAAAAACAAATAAAAGATCTCTCCAAAAAGTATCTTGACTTAGGGTTTTGACTCTAGTACTGTGTATATGTTATTATTTACTCAGAACACAAAAATAAAAACCTCTAAAATTTGAAGAAAGGAAAAAAAAAACTTATCTGTACATAATGATCTGACCAAATGGAAACATCACTATACTGAGAAAGTATTATCTGTAGTGCTTTTTAAAATCATAATTTTTTGACTAGTCATTCCTATTGTGCTAAATCCTAAACTGAAAAATAATCAGAAAGCAATCTCAAACAGTTCTCAGAAATTTTTGTTGTTAGCTTCATTATTCTGAAAATTGTTATAGATAAAGCAAGTAATACAGTATTGTTGCACGAAGCAGGTTTTAACCTTAAAAGATACACAGGTACAAAATCAAAATCATTAAGTGAAAGAAAACAATTTTCAATTTCAAGATTTAAAAAATATATATTTTCAACCCATGGATGGTTTAATCTTAGAATGCAGAACTCATGGATATGACAACTACATTAAAATAAAATACCTGAGATCTGCTATGTAACCCATTAAGTTCCAAGTTTTCAATTCTGCAAATATTTCAACAAAATTGACAAAGGTACGCTAAAACAGGTAAAAATCATAATCTAGAGTTTACATAAATTATTAATCTTCATATTATAATTATAGTGTTAATATTATAACTATATTCTTAGTTTTATAACTATATTAAATGTTATATACTATGTTTTAGGTATTTATAGGTGCTCCATATCTATCAAAATGGGACAAAATACTCAAGCACAATAAAATTTAAGAATAAAAATCAAAGGCATATCAAGGAATGAAATTAAATATGGGCAGAGTAGATATGTGAGAAATGAACAGAAGAGTATTAATTACTGTTGGAACTCATGAGTATACAGAAATTTATAATTATACTCTTCTCGCTACTTCAAGAGAGAGAACTTGTTTAAACTACATGTTAAAAGACACATATGAAATACTTTTTAATATTGATTTAAAACTGTCCTTAAAATAAAGACTAACATTTCCTTAAAACATCTGAAAAGATTAAAGTCTAAATTCTGGTTTTACTGGTAAATTTTAATTTTAATTATATAAAATCAATTCCTTATTCTTTGTACTTAATGGAGAGTAGTAAAGGTTTTCCCTGTGCTATGAGAACAGATAAAAATATTGCCCTTCTAATTACTAAAAGTGAGTGCAAAGTCATAAGAAAGGGAAAGAGCTCTACTATCTAGATAAGCAATAAAATTAGACATAATATTGTGTAGATTAGTATTCAGGTAACAGCTATTTAGGAGTTACTAGGTTGATGGAAAGAGTCTCAAATAATTTTCTGTTAAAGGAAATTTCATTTTTCTCTCTCATTGCTACAACTAATCACTTATTTCTAGAAAATTAAAAGCTTTGTCCTCTTAGTGAAGATTTAGATTTAACCACTTCTTTTCCTACAAAAATATACATGAAAAAATAACACAATAGAAGCACAGAATATTCTTACTGAGTGGAATAGCATGCAGTGTCCTATGCGAGACTGGATGTCCTCAGGCCCAGCATTACAGGAGTCCTCTCGAAGAAGTTTCCAGGTTTGACATTGACAGTTGAAAGCAAACAACCCACTGAATTGTGGTTCACTGGCTCTGCTGTCATCTACGCTGCCATTACATGTCAAAATTCTACCACCAAAGGTGTAGATCATATGTTTTTCTGAGTCCATACACATCTATCAGAACAAGACAACAGATAAAATTGTTGACATGTGCTCAAATGAAACCAATGTGTGTGTGCAGTTTTACATTCTCAAACAATGACCACCGCCACCTGAATTTGTCCTTAATGACACTAAACACCACCCCTGCCTATCATATGAACATACTGCAACTGTTTACAGCCTGGCAGAGATTCAAGTTAAGAGTTATAAATACCTTTCCAGGTTTGCATTTGTACCAGTGAAAATAAAGCATGTTGAGTCAAAGAACTTTCTGCTTTCTTTAAACTGCATAATTAAAAAAAATTTTTTTTAGTTGTTGATAGACCTTTATTTTATTTATTTATATGTGGTGCTGAGAATCAGACCCAGAGCCTCACACATGCCAAACAAGTGCGCTACTGCTGAGCCACAGCCACAGCCCCAAAACTACATAATTTTTTATCAATGAACATAATATGTTGATTTATTCCTAAGAGTGAACCCTAATCATACTCTATGGGAAAATAGAAATCATACCCTCATTTTTATCCTCCTTACAGAAATTCCCTTCTTCCTGTTCTAGGTAACCTATTAATATTGCTTCAATTTAATAAGAGAGCATATATGCAAATCAGAGTGATACAGCTAACTTCAGTCCTGCATTTATTTTATAAAACTTTAAATTTAATTCTTTTTGAATTAAGCCATGTAATTCATATTCAAAAGCCAATCTTGATGCTTCCATTCTTTCAATTAAAGATTATAGCTTTTCATAAAAATATATGAGAAACAGCCATTTGTCACAACAGTAAGAATCAAATTCTATTTCAAAGAATATATAAGTCTAAGTTGGAAGTTAGGATGTTAAACACAGTGACATTTATAAAGAATAAATTAGGGCTGGGGATATAGCTCAATTGGTTGAGTGCTTGCCTCACATGTACAAGGCCATGGGTTCAATTCCCAGGGTCACACCCCCCCAAAAAAAAGAAAGAAAGAAAAAAGAATAAATCATGTACACAAAACATGGTATGATTTTCCTAAAATACAAACTGACCTTCAAGTATTCAATTTGCTCCTCCCACCAGATTGTTTTTGTCATTCATCTATTTTTGTATTTTTAACAAAAAGCTGTTTGAATAATTGTAAAGTTTTTTAAAAAGTACTACTATAAAAAGAAAAGATTCTCGGGGGTAGGGCAGTGGCTCAGTGGTAGAGCATTCGCCTAGCACGTTCGAGGACCTGGGTTCAATCCTCAACACCACATAAAACAATAAATAAATAAGTAGATAAGTAAAATAAAGGTATATTAAAAAAGACTGTGAGAAGAAAATTTGTTTTGTATTCTTTTTTTAAAAAAAAAAAAGAAAGAAAGAAAAGAGGGGCTGGGGCTGTAGCTCAATGGCAGCGTGCTTGCTTGGCATGTGCGAGGCACTGGGTTCGATCCTCAGCACCACATAAAAATAAACAAAAAAGTGAAGGCATTCTGTCCTTCTACAATTCCAAAAATAGATAGATAGATAGATAGAAAGAAAGAAAGAAAGAAAGAAAGAAAGAAAGAAAGAAAGAAAGAAAGAAAGAAAGAGAAAGAAAGAGTCTAGCATCTCCCAATTTTACCTAATACTAAAAGTACCTGTCCTTATTTGCCATTTCCCAAGTTTCTTGACTTCCACAAATTAAGATGTAAATACTGTTTTCCCAAGGGTGAAATCATAGTAATTCTGTTTGGAAAACTAAAGATGTCAAAGTTTTCATTTCACTGGCATTGCACAGAACATGTTCCTACTTTTTAATCTTAATTTATGATATCTTTAAAAACAATTCATACATTGCTGAAGACAATTCAGTTGGCACCACTCAGATACTACACTCTGACTCAGGTGTCACTGAAGCTTGATCACATTATTCTATCCTAAGAACTTACTAAGACCCAGCTCTCTAAATAACTGGAGATCATGCAGAAAATCTTGAGGGGCCCACATTAAGTGAGTTTGCTTCCATTTTCTTAAATTCACAGATACATACTAATGGCCAATCTCTGTTTACCAAGCCCTTATGATTCTATTTCATGTAGCTAAAAGGGGAGTGTTTCTTTTCTTTTGGTGATATTTAAGCTTAATTGGTCATAATTAATCTGATAATTGTAATCTTTCTTCAGATCTGGAAATTTTTGTTTTTTTCCTTGAGTACAACTTACTGAAATTTTTATTTCACTGACAAATACTTAATTCATAATTTTTTGATTTCTTTTATGGAAGTGCATCTTCCAGAACTACTTTAAAAATATCACTTTAAATTAGTTTTCTTCAGTTTACTTCTAGCTATTTTCTTTAATCATTAATTTGTTGAGTTGGTACCCTTCTCTCATTAATTTTTCCCAAATAACTAGATTTGAGGGGTAGTCCTCTTTGTATCTGAAAATCCATATTCATAAAATCCATATTGCTATACTTTCTCAGGGTCCTGGATAGGAAGAAGAGAGATAGGATGCTATGAAGGTTCTTCAGCAGCCAGTGCCCTTTGCTTTGTCTTTCCAGCCCTTAACATTAGATAATTATCACTGCCAAGTGCTTACTTCGTCATACTGGAGAACACTCAGCTATTTAGTCACTGATTATTTAATGTTTGCCCAAATATATAAACTCTGAAACTCAAGCTATGTCCTAGCTTTTGGTGCTATCTTAAGATGTCCTAGTTTCTTCTGGTTGAATCTGATCCTACCTGTTTTCTACCTTTCGGGAAGATTCCACAAATTTTTGAGGTTCTCTGAAGACACTATTTTTCAACACTACTGCTAATGTATTCTTATTATTTCAGAGAATACAATAAGGAAGACATTATGTAACTAATTAAAACAAATAAAAAAAATAGAAAAAAAGAAAAAGAAATGAATCTATTCTCTTTCTTCTTAAAAAAAAAAAGTATATGTTCAGCTTGCCAATTACCCAATTTGGTCCAGGGAGAATGTCATTGAGCTGAGATCTTTAATTCTTTTATTGAAATTTTTTCCTGCTACTTTGCTCCCCATTTTCTAGTAATTTCCTCAAAATGTTGCTATTCAATAGACATTTTGGTTTAATAAAAAATCTTTGGCTTACACTGTCTTTTCTTGAATATTTTCTTGATGTTGTTTTATTGTCTTTTGACATTTGCTATGTTGTAGTATAGGTATTGTCTCTCCAAAAGGCCCATGATTTAAAGGTTTAGTCTTCAGGGTGGTGCTACTGGGAGATGTTATGAACCTTCAGGAGATGGTGCCTTATGGAAGGTCCCTGAGTCATTGGAGAGTGTGACCCCCAACAGTGATTCTGGGAGAACAACCCACCTTTTCTTTTGCTTCCTGGCTCATGATTGTAAGTAGTCTGCTTTGCCACATGTTCCTACCATGAAGTGCCATCCCTGCCAAGAGGCCCAAACAAAGACATCACCTTATCATAGACTAGAACCTACAGAACTGTGAGCCAAAATAAACTTTCTCTTTGTAAGTTAACTCTCCTAGTGAATGCAGATATAGAGAAATCTGTTATCAGTCTTATTTCAGTTCTTTTATAGGTGACTTCATCATTTTGTCTAGTGGCTAACATACAATCTCTTTGTTTTTTAAATCTAATGTTACTACTCTATGTCTTAGAGTTAAATGTCTGGGTCACTTTTCCCTAAATATAGTGCGTACATCTGATATATAGAGAAAGTCATTCTTAACTACATTTTTTTTTGAATGTTGATTTCTCTCCTTCCTTCCTTCCTTCGTTCCTTCGTTCCTTCCTTCCTTCCTTCCTTCCTTCCTTCCTTCCTCCCTCCCTCCTTCCCTCCCTCTCCCCCCTCCTCTCTTTCTTTCTTTCTTTATTAGGGATTGAACCCAGGGTACTTCACCACTGAGCTATATCCCAAGTCCTTATTATCTTTTATTTTGAGACAGGGTCTTGCTAAGTTACTGAGAGCCTCACTAAATTGCTGAGGCTGGCCTTGAACTCATGATCCTCCTGCCTCAGCATCCCAAGATGCTGGGGTTATAGGCGTGTGCAATTGCACCTGGTTGGTATTCTTCTTTAAGAGGGCTCCAATTATGTATATGCTGGCTTTCCTCTAATTTCTGTAATTTTCTGGCTAATCTTTTTTATCTCTTTATTTTTCTTTTCTTTTATACTACTTTTATTATTTATGATACTTACCTATTCTTCTTTATGCTCCTGTAGATTAGTCTTCATTTCCAAAAGGGATATGGTTTTCTTCAATTTCTTTCCTGAGTTTTACCAAGTCTGGTTTTACCTGTTTCTATTATTTAGCTATCTGGTCTGCATTTATAAATTCATGCTTTGTTGTTTTCTTTAGAGTTTCAAGCTTCATTAAGTCATTTAATTCATGTTAGGATACTGGGATATAATTTTCACTTGCTTTAGTGTGAAGGAAAGTCTTGCTGTTATTTTTCTTTACACTAGTCTTCTTTGAAATAGCTCTCTAAGGATTTGGTATTTATTGCTGTTCACAGTTTTTCATATTTAAGTGTGCTGATTTTCCCTGAACCAGAAACCTTTTAGAGGATTCCAACTGGATTCCAATGGAAGGGGCATGATCTTTATCAACAATTTCTTCCTCTGTTGCTACTGAATTGAATGATTTCTTTAAAATGTGATGATTTCTTTAAAATGTCATGCATTCTCTAACTTTATGAGTTTCATCTGATTCAGGGGGCTCTATCTCAAGCTTTGAGTTCCTCCAGTTCCTTCTAGCTATTTATTGCAAAAGGAGCCACTGTGCCCCACTATCACTGTGTTTCCTGCACATTTAGACATTTACCACCTCGGGACCTTTCTGGTATTCTCCACATGTTAATTCACTGACCGCCGTGCTGCTCAGCTCCTAAAACTTCCCACCATGATGTACCATTGCTAACCTCCCTCAGCATTCCCAGTTCTCTTCATTGATTGTTGTGGGCTTCAACACAAGTTTTAAGTATTTTGGTTGTTTTTGGGTAAACTTATAAGGAATTAGGAATTGGGATTACCTTGTCTCCTAGTTTTGCTAAATATGTGTCTTGTGTGTGTGTTTAAAAAACAAAAACAAAAACAAAAACAAAAACCCTCTCTGTTTGAGTCTCACTGTTTCTGAAAACCACACAAAGCAACAATGTGGAAAACTTGAGAACTAAACTGTCATTACGTTCTTTAGAAATAAAAAAGTCTTTGAACTTGAAAATGGAGACTTATACAATTATGTTACTTTTTCAGCACCACACAGCTAGCTGTTAGCTGAAGTAGGACTAAAATCCTAGTTTCTTCACCCCAATATGCTGCAGTACCATCTGATTCAGGTGAAGACCAAGCATTATTTAATAGAACCCAGCTTCTAAAGAACATCCTACTTTATCAAATTCAAGAGACAAAGGCCAGCCCCACAGAACTCTACATGTACTATATATAGTCAGACTATCCCTATACTATTCTTTTTTTAATCCATAAAAATAAAAGACATCACCATCTTCAGTAAAAGAATATGCAGGAACTTGGGATCAAAAGAATAAACTGTTCCCTAACATTGTTATGTGCTGATGCTGTTTTAGAAGACCAAAACCAGACCGCTTTCTTGGAGTTCTTATTTTCTACAGGAACACCACTGAGGATGTCAGCAAAGTGTGCACAGCTCTGAGGAGCTCAGTTACATATAGCCAGCAAAAGTTCCACATTCATTCTGGGGAGTACTTTGAAGACTAATGTTTATGATTTACCACCTAATTCACTTCATAGGCAATAATACATACCTCTCTCTTTGCCATTCTCCTATAAAAACTACATATTAGTATTAATATAGTATAGTAATAAGATAGCTTTAAAGTAAAGAATTAACAAAAATCTGAAAAGATTAAAAAAAAAAAGACCTGGGTTTTGACTCCTACGTAAGATTTTAGACTTATGTTTGATTTTGTCATAAGTCTAGCACCACCTCTCATTTCCCAAGTACTAGATAATGCTACCATCAATAGTGTGACAGATCTTGAGTCTTTTTTCCCCAACATTCCAAAAAAACATTGCCAATGGGCTGAACCAAATAAAACTGCCTATAAAAATTCAAAGTGGTTACTGTTTTACTTGACTTATCCTAAAATGATATAGAATAAATATTCAAAGATACCATAAGAATAACACTGATGGGGATGATGATGATGGCTATAAGCACATTAGTATCAAAATGGCTTCTAGAATTACTGCATGCAGTCTCCTTGTCTTAACACCATTACATGACTTCTATTGGTACTGAGTTTAACCTTAAACTAGCATATGTCAAATTCCTACCTAGGTTCCTAAGTTTCTGGCTATAAACAAAACTGAGCATATTTTACTTCATTTGGAAGAAAAGCTCAAGATTTCAAATTCCTGAATTCATTATAAATTGATTTTAAATTTCTGCCAGGTAAGAAAAAAGATTAAAAAGGCAAGTTATTATGTTATAATTTGTGGATATTTACTATAAAACTAAATTTGTTTTTTCCTAATATTTTTCTATTTACTCTCCATACTAAAGTTCTTACGTTTAGCAATAATGTTCTGAGATCTTGGTAATTGAGCCTACACCAAATTCAGGATGTAGTATAAATTTGGGGTAGGCTCAATTAAAATAAAGAATAACATTATACATACTGAAACAATAATTATTTTTATAATCTGTCATAGGTGTTTATAGTGTTTACTATTAGACCATCCTGCACAACATCAAAAAAAGTAGTCTAAAAGCTAAGAATTACTCATCACTAATTAATTCCACTACATATTTAACTGTTCATCAAACCTGATGATCAAACACCAGTTTTGGCCCTCCATCAGCAGCAGTATCTTCACTTAATAACATCCACGTGTTTGTGTCAATGTCGTAACGATAGAAGTCACTTTTCAGAGATTTGCTGTTCCTCACAGAGGAATCCAAATAACGTCCCAATGTGTAGATTTGCCTCCGCTGAATGTCAATGCACATTTTATGACATGATCTGGCGCTAGGACCATTCTGTAGAGAGGAAAAGAAGGGCAAGTGGGGAGGGTGATTCAAAGAACAAAAAACAAAAAATAAAATTAAATGCCCCTTTTGTTACTTTTCATTAGAAGTTTTTCTTAGAAACTAATATCAAATCAACTAATATGGGTTCAACATCAAGCATAAATCTATGAAGAAGAGCAACAGAAGCAGTAGGAGACACAAATCTTATCCTGGAAAGGCTTAAAATATACTAGGAAAGATAAACCAAACTATTCTGTAAACTATGACTCTCATTTGCAAATTGCATATGGCTTCAATCAGGTATTAATTACATTTTAGTCATTTGTGATGTAGTTCAATTCCATACTACATATCACTTTTGTCCTTAAGAACATTTCTATATTTCTCACCAGAATATAGGACAAAACAAGTATGGTCTGGGGCTGTAGCTCAGGGTTAAGGGTGCTTCCCTGGCATGCATAAAGCCTTGGATTCAATCCCCAATACTAGAGGGTAGGCAGTGGGAAAACAGTATTATCAGAACAATAATGTAGCAGTATTAACTTGACTAAAGGAAGATATATTGGAAAGGAAAACAGTTTGACAATTAGTGTTATTAATCCAGATAGTATGTTGATTTGAATCTATACAATTAACTATTTTAAAAACTTACTTTTAAAGACTTTTGTCAAGATTTTAGAAGATAAAGAAGAAATTTTATTTAAGAAAGAACTGACTCCATGTGTCATCTTCAGAGAAAAGGAGGATAATAAAACACTAGGTACTGAAATGCCTCTTTGTGTTCCCCAAGAACCTAGTCAACTCAAGGGCTGAAATGTCCAGGTTTATTTTATCTTGATGGACACTGGTTTTCTCCCATGAATACTAGGAATTAAGGTGAGTTAGCATATCCTCCATGCTTTCTTACATGCAGGTCAAGTTCCTTGGGATGCCTAGTCATTCAAAGCAAGCTAAGTTAGTGATGCCACTGCTTCTGCAGCCTCACTTATAAAACTCCTCTCCTTAACTGGTGTGAAACTGAGGACACTTGTCCAGTCAGCCACCACTGGACAAGGCATCAGGAGAAATGAAATGCTATTTTCTGGCAAAGTAGCACGAAGGACAGAGGTGTTAGTATAGCCTGTTGCCACTAGGCTTTCTGGAGTAATATCAGGAGGGATAGAGGCATTAGCTGGCAAAGCACTCTTAGGAATGGAGGTGCTATCTGTCTAGCCTGTCATCACCAGGTCTTCCCTTTTAGAGCACTGTCATGCAGTCTCTGGGTACTTTCTTTGAACTCTTGGCTGCCTATCCCAATTGGGCTATCACAAACTGGGCTGTGGCCAGTACACTTTATAATTAACCTCAAAAATAAATATGGGATAACATCTAATAAATCTGTCATATTTCTGAGAATGTGAAATTTGAGATTTAAATAGTAAAGTTATCAAATTTTTTCCTTCAGTACTTAAGTACTTCTAAAATGCTGAGCAAATTACACCCTAAGAACAAAGAAAAAAGATAAAGGAAATTAATAGGATAGAAAACATTAAGAAATGGAGAAAATTAACAGCTGATTATTTGAAAGACTGACAGCATTCTATACCCCTAACAAGACTAATTTTTTATAAAGGGAGAGAGAAATACAAATTGCCACTATCAGAACTGAAAGTACTACAGACTCTCTAAAAATTAAAAACAAAATAAAGGTCTATTAAGAAAAATTGGTAAAATTTGACAATGTAGATAAAATGGACATATTCCTTAATAATATATAACAGTAAAATGAACTGAGATGAAAATGAAAAACATGAAATCCTTATATCTATTGAAAAATTGAATTTACAATTTAAAATATTCCCATAAAGAGACTTCCAAGCCCAGATTTCTATCCTGGTATACCTATGGAAGAAATTTCATCATTTTTAGATGAAATTATTTGGAATATACTGGAAGAAGAAAAACTCCATTTTAAAATCTATATTCTAGGACTAGGATTGTAACTCAGTGGTAGAATGCCTAGCATATGTGAGGCACTGGGTTCAATCCTCAGCACTACATAAAAATAAATAAAATAAGGGTATTGTGTCCATAAACAAATAAAAAAATTAAAATAAAATCTATATTCTACTCCATTCCTAATTTAACTTAACACTAAAATCAAAAGATATTACAAAGAAGAGGTGAGGGATAGCAGGAATAAGAGGAAAGGGGAAAGGAAGTCAAGAAATAATTTATGGGCAAGTATCCCTAAACAAAGACACAAAGTTAATCTTTTACAAAATATTTACAAATAGAATACAACAATAAATAAAAAGAATATTTCAAAACAAAAGGAATGCAGTTGATTTTATATATAAAAATCCATCACAGTAATTTGTCATATTAACTGGATGAAGGGTAAAAATGATTATATTAATACCAATTTAGAAAACAATTTGATAAAATGTAACACATATTCATAATACTCACATGCAATATAAATTCATGAAACTCACAGCAAAACAGGAATAGAAATGAACTGCACCACATAAAAATGAAAACAAAATAAAGGTATTGTGTCCATCTAACAACTAAAAAAAAAATTAAAAAAAAAAAAGAATATGAGAAAACCTGAACTCTAACCTGTCGTTTAATGGTGACATGCTGAATATTCTCCTGCTAAGACTGAACAATACAAGGATGCCTTTCTCATCACTTCTGTTTAACAATGTGATGGAAGTCCAAGTCAGTAAAAGAAGGAGAAGAAATAAAATCAATCAATCAACAAATATATGAAAAAATGTCCAACATATTTAGCAGTTAGAGAAATGCAAATCAAAACTACTCTAAGATTTCATCTCACTCCAGTCAGAATGACAATCATCAAGAATACAAGCAACAATAAATGTTGGCAAGGATGAAGGGAAAAAGGTCCACTCATACATTGCTGGGGGACTGCAAATTGGTGCAACCATTCTGGAAAGCAGTATGGAGATTCCTCAGTCAACCTGGAATGGAGCTTCCATTTGACCCAGCTATCTCACTCCTTGTCATATACCCAAAGGACTTAAAATCAGCATATTAAAATGATGCAGCCACATCAATGTTTATAGCAGCTCAATTCACAATAGCTAAACTATGGAACCAACCTAGGTGTCCTTCAATGGATGAATGGATAAAGAAAATGTGCTATATATATTCAATGGATCATTACTCTGTTTTAAAGAATAAATAGAGGGATGGCGTTGTAGCTCAGCGGTAGAGTGCTCATCTAGCATATGCGAGACCCTGGGTTTGATCCTTAGCACATAAAATTAAAATAAAGATACGGTGTCCAACTACAACTAAAATATTTTTAAAAAAGAATAAATAGAATAAAATTATGGCATTTTGCTAAGCAAAATAAGCCAATTCCAAAAAATCAAAGGCTAAATCTTTTCTCTGATATGCAGATGCTAATTCACAATAAGGTGGGAGGGACTAGGGAAGAAGAGAGTTACTATGGATTAGGTAGAAGGAGTAAAGGGAGGGGAGAGGGTCTGGGGCTAGGAAGGAAAGTAGAATGAACCAGACATTATTACCCTATGTATGTGTATTTATTATCCTATGCATGACTGATGTGATTCTACAACATGTATAATCAGAAAAATGAGAAATTATACCCCATCTATGTATGATATATCAAACTGCATAACTGCTTTCTATTGTCACGTATAACTACTTAACATGAATTAAAAATTTAAAAAAAGAAAAAAAATCAGCTACAATTTTGACATTTGGAAAAAAAAAGAAAGGAACAAAATAAAAGTGTCTCTATTCATATACACTACAACTGTTGTTTAAAATGTCCTAAAAAATAAAAAGATCTATTAGAAATAAGTTAACTTAACAAAATGACATGATTTTCCATACTGCCAACAAGTGAAAGTAAAAAACTTTCAAAATCCCACTTATAACACAATACACACAAGATAAAATACACTGGAATAAATTCAATTAAAATATCCAATAACTCTAATGTGAAAACCCCAAAGTGGAGATTAAACCATATTCATGGATTAGAAGACTTAATATCATTAAGACATTAATTCTTTCCAAATTGTTTTATAGACTCATCACACTCCCTGTCATAATTGCCACAGTTTTAGAAACTGACAAGATAACTCTAAAATTCATACAAAAATGTAAAAGACCTAAAAGAACCAAAATTATTTTGAAAAGAACAAAGAGGTCCCCAGCAGCTTGGAAGGCTGAGGCAGGAGGATCACGAGTTTAAGGCCAGCAACTTAGCAATACCTTGGCTCAGTGTAAATGCCCTAGGGTTCAATCCCCAAGAACAAAAACAAAAGAAAACAAAGAGGACTTCACTCTTGGACCCTATGAGTTACTATAAAACTACAATAATTAAAGGAATGCCATATTGGTATAAATAGAGACCAAATATAATGAAACAAGATATAGAGAGTGCAAACAGAAACATATAAGAACAATTGATTTTCAACTCAGGTGTGGAACAAAGCAACTTTTTAGAGCAATAGGGAGCGATCAAAAGCCTCACACACCATTGGCAGGTATATAAAATGGCACAACAACTTTGGGAAGAGATTTAACAGATTAATGAAAGGAGGCTAAAAAGGTAAGAGTTTGATGAATAACAGAATATTTTCATATTTTTAAAATGTTTACCACAAAGTATTAATTATAAAGAGGAGAGATCTGGTAGGCAGCAGCTTAATCAAGTGATCAAAGCTAACTAACATCAGATGAACTGAAATAATGTGTCTGTCTCCTGAAGCCAATGTAATCCATGTGTTATGCCCGCTAAAAACGTGTAATGGTTAATTTGAATTCTCAACATGATTGAATTAAGAGATGTCAATGATTAAGAGGCTTCTGGGTATGTCAGCGAGGGTGTGTCTAGGAATGGGGGGCATGTGGGATAGCCAACTGAAGTGGAGACCCTCCTTAAGTATGGGCAGCACTGTTCAATAGGATAGTGGCTTAGATGGAATAAAAGCTGGAAAAACAAGGATACAGCAGCAGATGCA